AAAAACAATTAAAACGAACGCTTGTTGAACTGTTGATAGTTAAAACTGTTAAAATCTGTTCCTGGGCACATGACCACCCTCATCAATTAATCACCCAACCAGCCCGAGAGTACGATGAAAGGAAAAAGCTTCGAGAGGCCAGATTTGCTTTAACACCACCAGCCATTGTCGCTGCTGTTCCTGCAGCTACAACTTTCGCTGTTCCTTCTGCTGCTGTCGGAGCCACAGCTACGCCTGCTGCCACTGCTCCGATCCCAGGTGCCGCCAAGCAGCCCGAAGCTGCCGGAGCTGGTGCTCCCGCTGATCCCGCTCCTCCCACAGCTGGTCCTGCGGCTAACGTCTGAAAATTTTTTTAAATTGTTGAATTTTGCTTTACATTAATTGGAAAACTTTATTATTTGTTATAATTTTGAAAATAATTTGTATGTTGTATATATATATATATATATGTTTAATATGTATATATATGCATATATATGCATATATATATATATATATATATATATATATATATATATATATATATATATATATATATATATATATATACTCGAAGTATATGGCGAACGCACACAAAATTTGTGTTGGTAAAGTTAGGTGTGCGCTATAGTATTTTTTTTGTTTAGTTTTTTACTCCATTTCACTTTTAACTTAATAAAACATGTGTTTGATTTTTGGTTAAAATTTCAGTCAAAAGTACGATCGGTGGGGACGTTTGAAGATAACATTGAAATAAAAAATGACGGACACGTTCAAATTTGTGCTTCCAGGTTGAAAAAGCTGTAATTACCATTTTACATAATCTTCATTAACAATATAAATATATTATAAAATAAATAAAATGATGTTAATTTATTTTAACTTTAATAATTAATTTAACTTTAACAACATTTTTTTATTTTTGCCCTAAAAATTTTAATTTTCAAATCCCTCAAATCACATGCATAGGCGAGAAGATTTGTAAATTTAATGACAGATTAAATTTGCTAGAAGGAGTTTACGTGAAAGACAACGTCGTCCGAAGCAGCTTGGCTGGCCGATTAGTGATTGAGGAAGTGGAGGACGAGGATGAAGATGGCAACGACGATTGTGACATGGAAAAAATAAAAACCATTAAAGTAATTTCTTTGAAATTGTTGGATATTTAGTTGTTAGTTAGAGGTATTTAGTTAGTTAGACCAAGTCTGTCTTTGTAATAGTTATTTTTGTTGACTTAAAAAGTGTTGCTAACTAAATTACACATTAATAATTATTAATCTAATTTCTTAGAAAGAATTAAATTGAAAAATTTTAAAAACTTCACAATTAAATTATTTAAGGCTTCGTATATGTTTCATTTTTTTTTATCATATTTAACTTTTAAATTTCCCCATTATTACATAACATTTTAAAATTGCAGAAAATAATTAGAGTGTCGTCTGCCAAGCACGGAAACTTTGTTCCATTCATTGGGGCTCTAGTCTCCGCCAGGGTTAGTATCTTTCAATTCTTCACCGCCAACTCTTTCAATGCTAGTCCAAGTTGTTAGATTAGGTAACCTTAGTCAAGTCAGTGAATGCTTTCTGCTTTATTTTTAACTTTTTTTTCTAAATTTAAATCCACTTTTAGGTGACCAGGGTGACACAAAGATACTGCAAGTGCAGGATAACAACCGTCGAGAAGACTAAATGTCGAGAACCGTTCAATGGCCTCCTTAGGTTATTGTTATTATTATTATTTATTATTATTATTATTATTTATTATTATTTATATTTTTACTATTACATATTATTATTTTATTTTTTATTCTTTCGACAGGAAGGAAGATGTGAGGGATAAAGAGAGAGATAAGGTTGAATAATAATAATAATAATAATAATAATGATAATGATTTTGATGATGATGATGATGATGTTTTTGATAATGATGATGTTAATGATGATGATGTTAATGATGATGATGATGATAATGATGGTGGTTGTGATGATGATGACTGATTATAACAGTAACGATGATAATTATTTAATTACTTAGCTATTTATTATTATTATTTATTATTATTTATTTATTCCAGACCGACATGTTCAAATGCTTCAGGCCTGGAGATTACATACTGGCTCGTGTCGTAAGTTGCTTCGTGGAGATGATGATATTGATGGTGATGGTTATGATGATGATGGTTATGATGATGATGGTGATGATGATGGTGATGGTGATGGTGATGATGATGGTTATGATGATGATGATGATGATGATGATGATGATGATGGTTATGGTGATGATGGTGATGATGGTGATGGTTATGATGGTGATGGTTATGATGATGATGGTGATGGTTATGATGATAGTGGTGGTGATGATGATGGCGATGATATCATATCATCATCATCATCACCAAATATTATTATTATTACTATTATTCAACCTTACCATCATCATCATTATCTCATTTTAATCATCATCATCATCATGATTGCTACCGCCATCAACATCTTCATCATTAACAGCATCATCATCATCACCGTCAACTCACTATCATCATCATCATCAGCAACAACAATTCACCATCATCATCATCATCAGCAGCAACAACAATTCACCATCATCATCAGCAACAACAATTCACCATCATCATCATCATCATCAACAACATCTCCCTTCTTTTCATCATCATCATCATCACGACCTTGAACACCATTACCACCAAGATCTCGACGAACGACACCATGCATTATCTGCTCTCAACAGCTGAGGGTGAACTGGGTGTCGTCTGTGCCATCAGTGAAGCAGGTTGTGATGATGATGATGATGATGATTGGTGGGTTGTGATGATGATGATGGTTGGTTGTGATGATGATGATTGGTTGGTTGTGATGATGATGATGGTTGGTTGTGATGATGATGATGATTGGTTGGTTGTGATGATGATGATGACGATGATTGGTTGGTTGTGATGATGATGATGATGATGATAATGATGATGATCACCATCATCATCATCACACCACCATCATCATCATCACCACCGCCACCATCATCATCACCACACCAGGCAGTTTATTGGTTCCATTGAGTTGGACCGAGATGCAATGCTCGTCGACCAATCAGAAGGAACATAGGAAGGTCGCCCGTGTTCAACCGCAGCTCTTGCTTGTTGATTGATTGATTGATGGATGGATTGATTGATTGGTAGATTGATTGATTGATGGATTGATTGATTGGTAGATTGATTAATTGATAAGTTGGTTAATTGATTAATTGATTGATTGGTTGATTGATTGATTGATTGATTGATTGATTGATTGATTGATTGATTGATTGATTGATTGATTGATTGATTGATTGATTGATTGATTGATTGATTGATGATTGGTTGGTTGGTTGGTTGGTTGATTGAGTGAGTGAGTGAGTGAGTGAGTGAATGACAGTTTTATATTATTTTAACTTTTATATTTAACACACACACACACACACACCACAAAAAACTAACACACACACACACACACAAACATATATCTTTATAATTTATAATTTTAAATATCCAAATTAAAATGACAAAAATAAAGTTCATTCAATCAAGTATATATTTATATGGCGTACATCCTTACAATTCAATAAACTCGAAACCCTACTCTCCCTCCAAATTTGTGGATTCGTAAGGTTAAATATTCACTTGGAGGGGTTCGGACTTGTCGCCAGCTGACAATCAGAGAGTGATGGAGTCTGAATTTTTCGAGGGTTCGATGATTTTGTCATCTCGGTAAAAGATTTCGCCTTACAAACTTACAGCATAGTAATGAGAACATCCTTTGATTTTAATTTTTACAATATTCTATAAATTCTACCGAATGTTTGGCGTTAATATGTTTGTAGTTCGTTTTTTCGATTTTTCCCACTAAAGTTTTTTGGTGAACGTTTAGTTTTTTAAAATTCAAAATAAACTTATTTTTCGAATTCATGCTGCAAATAAGGCCATATTTCCATTCCGAATGAATCGTCGTCAGTTCTAATTTTAAAACATTGTAATTATAAAGTCAAAATAATGAAAATTGAAATGTAAATTCGATAGCTAATTTACAATGCTCACCATACATTTTAAATGGACACAAAGAAAAATAGAATCAGTGATAAATTATTCTCAAATCGTGTTCCTATCGCAGAAAATTGCGTAAGATGACATGACGATACTACTACGGAATTAATTAAACTTCCATGAAAACTGCTATTAAACCTGTAATAATAATAATAATAATAATAATGATAATAATAATGATAATAATAATGATAATAATAATAATAATGAAGAAAATACTTGCCTTATTGTGTAGGCAGGTTTTCTTTGATCAATGCTGCTCGATCAATAACTCACATCTGTTAATGTTTATTATTATTATATTTATTATTATTACTGTTATTCGTCAAAGTTCATTATTATTATTATTGTTATTATTATTATTATTATTACTGTTATTATTATAATTTGATATAACGCTCTAGCTTCATTTAAAATTTTGCCATACGTAGATCCCTAACTGGAGGTCAATTGAACAATTAATTAATTAATATTATTAAGAAATAAGGCCTGGCAAAACCCCTTACCCATAATTACAAAACAGAAGAATGAACGAAAATAATAAAGTTTAAACAAAAATTAATGTAAAATATAAATTTATTTATTATTATGATAATTTCGTAATATAATTAATAATTATAATGAGATAATGATGATGAGTTCGTATAATGACAACAGCAACATCAACAACAACATCAATGATAATAAAGATGATACTACCATGGAGTACACCGATGATGATGATGTCGTTGTTGAAGTAGCTAAGAACAGTGCAATGAAAGATTTGTCTACAGCAGCCTTAGCAGCAGCGGCAGTAACGACGTCAACAACAGCAGCAGCTTCAACAGTAACGACAAGCGTAGTATTATCACAATCAAACATCATGATAACTTTAAGTGATTTACTTACAGCAACAACATCAACAACAACGTCAACAACAACATCAACAACTTCAACAAATACATCGAAACAAATAGCAACCACATCCAGTAAAATGTTTAATTCCTTATCAAATATGTGTGGCTTGCTTCAACAAAGTTGCCTAAAACAGCAGCAACAACCACAACAACAACAGCAGCAACAACCACAACAACAACAACAGCAGCAGCAACAACAACAACATCAATTTCAACAACGACATCAACTTCAACAACAACTTCAACAGCAGCATCTTTCATTTTGTAACTATCCTATGCTTACTCCAACTCCTATTATTACTTCTAATGGTGACGATGACGTCAACAACAACAACTACAACAACAACAACAACAACAACAATAACAATCATAATATTACCAGTAATAACATTAACAACAACAATAATAATAACATCACCAATAACAACAACAACAACAACAACTGTATTAAAAATATCAATCACAACAATGATACCAACGCCAAAGTCCCAACAACAACATCAACAACATCAACAACAACAACAACATCAACAACAACAACAACATCAATTAACTTAACACCGGATGAAGTAGAAACGATGATAAAGATGATTTTTGCCTACAGAGAATCGGCTCGTATGCTACTGAAGACGGCCAAAGAAATGGAAAAAATTATTGAAAAAAATTCGCGATGATTTTTGAGAAAAATCGCGATAATTGTTGAACGAAATATCAATTTTAAGATGATTGTTGACGATATTTACTTAAAATTCTCAATAAATTTATAATTAATAAATTTTGTGGCTAATAAATAAATAATAATAATTTTAATAAATAAGTGGCTATGAACCAGTTATCGGTAAAAATATTTGCGCGATAATAACTTATCGAAAAAATTTGCGATTTTGTAAAATGCTAAAATTATCGCCTGTCGCTTTATGTGATTAATAAAATAATATGCGCTTTTGTCCTTAAATTTAAAATTACGTATGAAATTGAAAAAAAAAACATTTATTCAACCATCGGTAGAGTCAATGTGATATAATATTAATAACAGGAGCAGGGAGATGGTAAGTCAAGATGTCTGTTCTTGCTGCTGCTGCTGTAGTAGTATTAGTAGTAGTAGTAGTAGTAGTATTATTATTATTATTATTATTATTATTATTATTATTATTATTAGTAGTAGTAGTAGTAGTAGTAGTTGCTCATATATAGGTATCAAGCCACTCCAGAGCCATTTCCATTGCCCTTTCTTCAGTGGTTATGCTGCTAAACCGCTTTTTCTATGTTTATTAGACCATCTTCGTTACACACAACCATCACCGAAATACTTCTTTTTGTTGTTGCGCCCACTGAGCCATCAGTGTAGATTTTTAAATCGTTAACATCTGCTTGGTTGATTGTTTCCATCGCGACAACATGCAGCTTATTCTTTGAGCTGTTTTTGTTCTTTATGGCTTTACTGGTCTTGACTCTTGCTTTTTGTAAGTAGAGATCCGCGACATCAAATGGCTGCAGTTTCTGTTGAATTAGTCCGAAATAGCTTGTTCGCCAATTTTTTTTTTGATTCTCACTGGAACATCCTTCTCTGCCATTTTTCTCCCGAGGTTTTCCCTTTCTAACATCTACCAATTCACTTACTTTCTTGCTCCAATTCTGTCTGACCTGTATTCCAATGGCACCAATGGGGTTTCTTTTAGAACTGAATGCATTGTTAGCTAGTCTGGTTACGATTCCAGCTGTCTTCAGTTGTTCACTTTCAAGTTTGTCCATTTGGATGATGTATCGCGATGAAAATTGTTTTTAGCATCTTCCTCTTCCAGCCCCAGTCCGTTCCACTGAGTGCCTCTAGATTCTTAAAAAGGTCGAAATAAATATTTTGAGTATGCATTCATTCATTCGTTCGTTCGTTCGTTCACCCATTCATTTATTCGGTCGTTCATTCATTCATTCATTCATTCATTCATTCATTCATTCATTCATTCATTCATTCATTTATTCAATCATTAATTAAATCATTCATTCATTCATTTATCAATATATCTCTATATTTTGATGTACTAAAACACAACCAAATAAATTTTTAAAATAATTATTAAAAAAATCGCTTTATTCATTCTATGCTTCGAATCATTGTACAAATTAAAAAACTAAAAAGTGATGATGACGACGACGACGATGATGATGACGACGATGATGATGATGATGATGATGATGATGACGACGATGATGATGAACCGTCCCCTTGTATCTGCTCTTATTTTTGAAAAATGAAAAAAAATATTGCGAAAAAAACACTGAAATATGCATGCATGAATATTCATTAGGCACTCCATCTGATTATCATCATCACCATCATCATCATCACCACCATCACC